AAATAGTTGCCATGGTGACCAATCACGGCTACAAAAAATTGTCATTTGTGTTTTCACACAATGAAATCAACATTCTTTTTCGACGACAAAACTCAACATTTACCATCTTGCATATTCTACCAGTCACAGTTTTGTTCTTACCTTTTTTCAAGTGATAAAAATTGTATTTATAGCCTTTTTAGAAAATAAAATTTCTCTTGCAACCAACCAGTGCTTAGACAACAGGACTTAATACCTACTCTAAGTGCTTGAACAGGTTTTAGTTCGATTTCCTGTGGCCCGAGGCCGTAGGCCGGGGGAAGTATTTTCAAGACTGAGGTCACAGTTTTTCGCCATACGCACCTCCCAACCGGCAAATATCATATATTTCTTTGCCACTCTAAGATGAAAATTTACGAGGAACCATGTTTAGCTAACTTAAATACAACGATAGTATGGCGAGGAAACGTAAATGAGACCACGATGCTTATATAAGGATAGGATTTCTCTCAAGAGAACAAAAGTTCGCACTAATACATAATAATCGTACCATATGTAACAGTAATAACATCGCATAATAGAAGTATGATACATTTAATATAAAATACAAGAAAGAAGAAATGAAGTTGTTGGTAGTTGCTGATAAGGAATTTTTTTTTTAGTTTAATTTTGAAGGTCGCTGGAGTATTTTAATTTGGTAACTAGGGGTAAACTGCCCTATATCTGATGGCACCGTTAGTTAGATTACAGCCTTGATAATCTTTTTAAATGGCCCGGCTTTGCATGTGAGAAATGACACCGTAGGTTCTACATATTTGAGAGAAAAAAAAAAACTTGAAAAATGTGATTGAACTATTTTATATAATGGGGAATTGAAAGAGCCAGTGGATAACAATTCGAGAGACGTTTCGCAAATGTCAATTTTAGTATTCTTTGAAAATTAGAGAACATCAATTTTACTGAAACTGATCTATTCCGCCTGAAATTCATAGATCAAAAACGGCTATGGCACATTGGCGTATGAAAATGCTTGGGACAGTTTTATATACCAATGTGCTATAGCCCCTGCTATATGTTAAAATGTCAAAAATATTTTCATCTACATTTTTTGTGTCTCATTAATAGCTTATTTTCCGGTTGTCAATGACTGTCAAAGCTGATATATTCAAGTAGTCACCATTTAAATCCCTAAATATGGCACTTTTGGTGACAGTTGTCAAATGAAAGCTCAGACGATGAGGTATTTTGAAATATGACACTTAATTTGTAGTTAGAGGTGGAACAAATTTTGTTAAAGTTACAAATACAAGCAGAACCCGATTCAAGATGGAATAAGTGACTGGCGGTTTTTTTAGGGCTCGAAAATAATGAAAAAAAGAGGGCGGCTTTAAAACGAGTAACAGAGCTCCTTCCCATTCCTCTCGCGGCTGTACTTCTCTAAAATCCTCATAAAAGCCAGCCGTGCAGACTAAAGTAATTTTTAACATTCTTAATATGTGCTCCACTTGTCACAGACGTCAATTACGTTCTGTTCTTCTGCCAGAGACTAAGGACCTTCCCTTGTTCTGTAACGTATTCTTTTGCGAGACACTTCACTTTCAAACAGATCACCCACTATAAAAATAACTTTCGATCAATTTTTGGCCACTATGTTGGTGATGAAAAATATTGAAAAGAAAGGAGGAAACCTTGCGAGCACTGTTCTGTGACACTCGGTAAAAATAATCCATCAGAAAACGGGATGCAGTTGCCAGAAGTGCTTAGGCTTTCGGAGAGAAATTGAGGACAATATTTTGAAAGAGGTAAAGGCAGCCTTCAACTAAACTTCTAAATCAAACGAACTTATAGAACTTACAAATTTAGTGGGTCTGAACATGATGAATTTACTTGTAAGCGGTGGCAGAGTATTGGCCATAACAACCAGCAGCAAGGTATAATGTGAAAGGCATTTGGAAAGTAATTTCTCGTTCCAAAAAAAATACTAATATCATAAACCTTATCAAGATTGCACATGAAATAACGGTAGCATTACTCAACTGTGTAGTGTATTTGGTTAAAAAATTCTGATTTCATGGCAACGATCAAAACTCTGTCATTATGGAATTTTACCTTGACCCTTAAATTGACGAGCGTTGAAAAAGAAAAGTTATGGACTCAAGACGGTGAAAATACCAACGCTAAATGATCAACTGTGAAATAAAGATAAGTTTTTCTAGGAGCTTCCTTAAATTGCTTTGAAATGATGTCTTCCCGCTGTATTTAGTGGATAGTGGATAATATCGATACGTCTGATAGTTATAAAGTAAAATTCGTTATATTTACCAAGTGGTTCTAAATAAACGACCTTTTCTACGATCTCAGTATATATTTTAAAGAAACAATCAGCCTGTCAGCAATAAAGGAAAAGCCAATCAGCCGTAATCTTTAATTAAGCTTTCTCTTGCCAATCGTCTTTGATTTCTGTCAATCAATTGCTGCGAGCTGTACTTCAGATGAGGCGACATAGCCTGCGGGTCGAATCTGTGCTCAATGATTATGTTTGTTAGCTGTCAACAAAAAATTGAAAAAGTGCACCAAGGTAACCAATGCTTCGGACTTAAACCTCTCTGTCGTCACTAAAAATCGGACATATATGCTCCTTTCACGCGTTCAAAAGCAGTATACATCGAATTGTTTCTACTTCTTCTCAGCTCAGCAAATCTTACAACGAAGCTGGTGGGAGAGAGAGAGAGAAAGAGCTTTGATACACTTTGCTTGCTGTTACATGATCGAGTCGTATTTGGTCAGATATCTTTTAAGTGTCTCGGTTACTTGAAAAGTTCTTACTGCAATGAGACGTTTAGATTGTTCATGATTATTTCATGTGCTTATGTGTGAAATGAGCATAAATTCACCCTATGTGTGCCACTGCTGTCCGAGTTAACGGTATAGGGTTGAGTTGCAAACGCGTGAATAACACAGCGTATCATCCCGAAATGGAAAAAATGGAATTTATTGCATGTTAAAAGAAATTAGTGTTACCAAATGGCAAGGAGAAAGGCTCAGAAAAACCTCATAATACCCTGTTTGTTGATCGGATAAGATTTTTTTAATTACTGTACAATGCAAGTGTAACAAATTAACTGCCATGCCTAACTTTTCATTGTGATAGTTTAAGTATCCGACGGGTTCATGAAAGTGAAATCAATTTTTCTGAAGCGATTTTAGACTTCAATGGGACTTGAACTAATGGTAATTAAAAGAAGATGGCTCGGTGTCCATAAATAAAATAACATAATGAAAAATCATTTGCATTTTAATTTCAAGTTTAATGAGCTTAAATTAAGTTCATCAAGCCCTTCCTAAGCTGAGTTGCTTTGTTTTTTCGTTAGTTCATAAGAACTAATTATATTTTGTCACAAAAGCCGAATCCTTCTACAGCGATTTAGAGGGTTCTTAAGCTAATTCAGGGGGTTAAACAAGATGATCAAGCTCAGAAATATTAATTAAATAATCTAAAGTGTTTTTTAGTATTTCAGGAAACAGTGATTTATCTGTTGTTTTTATTAAACTTCATGTCTTCACATTTCGCTGATTCTAATAGGCCTGGACCTTGCATAAGGTTGCCGATCCGCACCAACGATTCTTATACCGGCTTAAGTGGCCGCTTAATCGCATCAGCTGATGTTTCTGTCCTTTCTCAATTTAACACACTATCTGGAACGCCAATCTTTTATGAGATATGCATACTTATGATGAATTCTCATTTGGATGACACATAAGTAATATCGTAGCGTTATCAGTTATAGCCGTCTTACCTGCTAATTATTTAGTGAATTGACCACGGCAAGAATAATTTCAGCAATAGGTGATTGCCTTCTGCCAACTTGAAGCTGCGCTCTATGCATGGAGGGAAGGCTCGAGAGGCTTATTTGTTTCTTTAATATCGTTTTAGCGGTTGAAAGAATTATTTTTCTCGTTCGGGTCTTATGATTATCATACTTGAATTTACCATAAAGGCTAGATTGCATGTTTCCATGTCTTTTTAAAATTTAAAAAAAAAGCGAATTAACGATTAAATTTTATCATATTATGCCTATATAGCAGACACAGAATTCCTACAGTGAATGTGTTTCTTAAGAGAATCTTAAGAGTGGTTTTATCGCCAATCACTTAATTGCTTAGGCTTCCGCGGTTCACAGTAAGCAGTAGGAGTCCTCCTCAACCCTTTGACTCCCAAAAGTGATTAACATGTAACTTCTCTCCACAATTGGAGAAAACTCCAACGTATTAGGCAGAGGTTGTTATCATGATCTGACACTAAATTCTCATAACAGATTTACAAAGAAATGTGTAGAAGCAAGGGGGGAGAATTAGTAAATAGATCATAGGAGTTGAAGTGTTCTGTATCTGGTCACTCTATTTTCAGCATCTTCCAGCGATCAAAATGATTCGCATGTTTTTTTACTTCCGTTACATTATGACTATCGTGGGACGGGAAAGGGACGTAAGAAATAGACATTAATCAATATCGGCTCTGATTTGATCATGCTTTCGATTTTTCATCGATCGAGGAAGATCAAATAAAGACATGAATTTTCCGACCTCGGCATGTGTCCATTTATTTCGCGGTTCTATCTCGAAAACGATGAATCACAAACAGATCCCCGGAAGTGTGCTTATTGTTACCTAGAGGATTTCCGATAGCGTTATCTTTGACGATACCTAGCTACGCTGTATGTCTGCGTGACTATTTCTTTCAGGGCTTTCTCTGAGATTTACAAAGAGTCTGAGAAAACCCGGGAATTGAGCTACATTATTTCGACCTTCGAGAAATTGGTCGTCGTCAAAATGTGTGATTCATCTGTGAGCCACTCTATCATTATTGAAATCAAATAACGATTAAAATGATGTCAAACATCTTTTAAGAAGAATACTTTGCATATTAAGCATATAGTTTAGATTTCAGTGACGTCAGATCAAAAGGGCACATTCACGATAAGTTTTCAAGTTTCAGGTGTCATTCTTTCGGTTGAGTGACTGCGTTCCTTTATCACCTCACAGCAGTTAAATTAATCGTACATGAACTCCCACCACATAGTTCCGGAGGAAAACTTGGATTCGAGCTAATCTCAAACTATGGACTCTAATAGATGACTCAGGGAGCCCTTTGCAGGTATTTGACTTATTGCCACCGGATAAAAAAAATTATAGGTTATATGAGTTGTTATATTGTATTGTGGACACAAAGCAACGACCCGGAATGCCACTAGGTTTAATTTGAGGTTTGTTTGTTAAAGCGGACGAGACACTTTCGCTGAGTTTTTGCGGTAAAGAGGGGCAGTTGCTTTTCGCTGCGTGAATGTCGGAAAGTTAAAGGCGACGGTCAGAGTAACGAATGTTGTGTGAAAAGGTTTGTAAAATTTCAACCACGTCAAAAATCCAAGGTTTTAATGGATGCATTCTCGAAGCAGAAACGCTCAAATCATTCCAAAACTGTTAATTTCATTGTAGGTTTTCTCTATCAAAGTGCGGCTATATCGATTAGTTGAATACTCGAGTTGAGGTTAGTAAACAGAGAATTTGTCTCTTAATGTGTCTTAGAGGTTTACATAGCGAAGATCACTTCAGGTTTTAGACGTATTTAACTGAATGATCATATTAGTAAAGCAGACAATCGACTTACTGTGTTGAGCAACAAAGCATCATATTTGTTGAATATCATGCGATAGTACCTAGTCAAACAGACTGTTCCAGTTCTTTTGCACGTGACAGACTTCCATTTCGACAACCAAGCCAATGTTTGTTTATTTGTTTCTATTTTGGGTGAGAAAATTCAATGTTAAAAACGACGACAGAGTATCAAGCCTGCAAAAATCGATTGTTATTGTCAATCATTGTTTTCGCAATTAGCTGAGATTTTTTATGTTATCTTCTAAACTTATGCAGCTTTCCTATGTGTTCAATATCTCGCAATAAGCTCGCAAAGTCAATTTGTTTTAACTTCAAGCTTTTTGATTCGATCTCCCACAAGCGAAGTACATCATTCAGTAATTTTGTAGGCGATTTGAGGTGAGCTTTTTGAAGTATTTCGTATGCCTCTTGGCATGGTGACACGATCATTTTTCCGGCGTTCTCCGACCCTTTGTCTGGGTACAAACCTTTATAGGCCATCCGTTCTTCCGGTAATTCATGATTATTCAAGTGATTGTACATCAGTTCGCGAGTGTGGTTCAGTTATAACTTAAGCAACTTAGCCACCGCACCTTCCACTGACAGCTCTTCTTTCTACGAAGGCAAAACTTAAGACTAGCAATTATTACTTAGGACGCCCTGTGAAGTATCTCTTGAAGTACTGCTCGAGTTATTCACCACAAACCTACAGTGTAAAATTAAATTAAAAATCCATCTCGAACCCTTTTCGTCTTCCGTCTATAACTTCGTTCCGCTTCGAAAATCAATGCAGTTATTAGCTTTTTACGGTCTTCTAGCAGCAAAAGTCAAGCTTAAAAATTTTAGCCTAGAAACGATCTTTTTGCTGTGTGCCAGGCCGATTTGCGTAAAATAGCTCAATAAAAATATATTGGCGCTGAAATATTGCTCAAGACAAGAGAAGAGATTCATCAATCATTCATGAAAGACAAATGATGTTTTTTTTTTTGTTTTTTTGTTTTCATCTAATTTGGCGAGCAAGTATGTAATTTTCGAAGCCGCCTTCGACCAAAAACCGCCACAACTAAAGAGTTTTGATCGCGTGTCAGTGATGTACATAAAGATATAAGCCATTTGAACTATTTCTATTATGATACGAGAAAAGAGAAGGCACTCAGGGTTAACGTGCCGTTCTAATCAAGCGGAAATCGATCAGTCGTCACTTGCTCGCAAATGCATCTTTCAAATCAACATTAATTAGCAAAAATCGAACATAAACAAGGAACCCTGTTTTCTTATGTTTTCCAATTCCGCAGTATTTTTCGAATAATAGCTCTCCGGCGATACTGTTCTTAAATACACCGTTAAAAAGTTGGTATTTGTCCGCTGGATTAAGGTCAAGCGTTTGTCACGTTTTATCCTTCTTCTCTTGAAGGTAATTGCATGCTTGAACAAATATTGTTGTGACCTTTTCGTCATTATGGAAAATGTAGTAGCTACGTGTTAGAACACACGCTGGGCTGAGGTCGAGCCCCCACTGGTAGTGCTCTTCAAGCCTACCATGGCTCAGCGCCTTTTTTTTGTTTGTTTTAAAGGCTTTTTAGATGTCATTGCTACTAAGTCGAAAGAACAATGGTGGTCATTGCTTTTTTTTGATGCGTGTATTTGCATTAATTATGGAGCAGTTATTTAATACATTTGTTACACTCCTCAAAACTCACCTTCGATTTACGCCGCACGATTTTCCTAGTCATACAATCATAAGGAACTTTTGTAGCTCAGAAATCGATTCACAAGTCATGAAATATATAGTTCGTGGGCAGCTTTCATCATGTATTCAGCATTGCTAGTGGGTTAGGCTTGTCTCGGGCTTGTAAAGTGCGTTTCAAAATGCGACGATCCTTTCGGGTTGTGTACGAACTGCGCTGATACTTTGAAGGTAGGATTCATAAGCCTAATTATGACTTTCCTCTTTTTTTAAACAATAATAACTTTCTCTCCGAGGCGAGGGAAGGAAGGAGCGGACAGAAAAAGAATGGGGAGGGCTGGATACATGTGAGAAAGGAAGGAGGGAAGTGCTTGTATCTCCGTTGGCTAAGAAAGGCAGGGATGAGGTTGAAAATCAAAGATAACTCCGAATTACTTCTGACTTGCTCTTTAACCTATTATTATATCGTCTGCTTTAGAAAAAATGTTCCTCTCCTACTTGAACTTGTTAGTAAAGGCGACTCTTTTCGCTAGATCAAAGGCAGAACCTGAAAGGTTAAGGGTTTTTTCCTCGGCGATGATTGGTTGTTAAGAATTGTTCGTTTCTTTTTGCCGATAGCTTTATCAGTACAAGCACACGGTGTCAAGGTTTTCGTGCAGCGTTTGGGAATCTCATTGTACAGAGCTGAAAGGTGATGATTGACAGGAAGAACTAAGTATAATAATTATGGCGCAAAATGTAATGAAAACGTGAAGCGAATCAGTTGACCATTGTAGACGATTCATCACAATTTGGTAATTGTTAAAGATAACCAACTTTGTTTAGTGTCTAGTGTATATGAATATAAAAAACGCCCCCGGTGAGGAAAACCCTCCAACTAGATCTCATCGTTAAAGGATGATTTCGATCCGCGACGTATGTACGTGGTCGCATTTCTGTTTACTCAGAACAGTCATAAAATCTGTTGACTTTGGTGCCAAACATAATTCAAATGTGTGGAGAATGAAATCAACCTTTCATTTTAGTTATTTATTTCCTCTAAACTGTAAAAATGGATTTCAAATTAAAATTGTTTTTCGCTGCAAAGGAATAAAAAGTGGGGTTTGAATTTTTTTTTTTCAAAATTCAAATCCGTTTTTCTGGAAATTGGAAAACAAAGAGCAAAAACGCTAAAAGAAAACTCGAATTTCATATCCAGCTTATCAAAAAATTATAAAACAAAAAGTTAAGTTGCCAGATGTTTTTTATGTTGTGGAAAAAATAAAATGGATTGTAAATGAACTAATTTCCAATTTTTACAGCAAAGAAGGAAAACGAAATAATTCTGGTCGCCAACAGTTGGTATTTAGGGACCAGCTAATCTCAATTTTAGACCCTGTGTCCGAACGTTGTCATTGTCACTGCTGCTGTGCGTATGCGGATGGAATTTAAAACCACGTTTACGTTCATTCATGTATCTTTTCGTCTTTTTTTCCTCTGGCTCTGTATTTATTTGATGTGCATCACAAAGTGAACATCCAGACGAAGAACTACCCAAGAGCAATTCTGATACTGTTATGGCACCAATAATAATGGTGATAAAAATAAACACAATAATGATTATAAATATAATTATATTAAAAATGTCATTTGTATTTAACGTGATCACATCAAAGGCGTCATCTGGCATTTTGTCAAGCATCAAAAACTCGATGATCTCACTTCACCATAAGAGAAGCTTCGCTCGTTGAAATTAGATAGTAAAAGATGAAAGGCAATATGCTATTGTACCGTTTACAGTTCCATGAAAAAAAACAATGCTTTCGTTCATTTGGAAGTGAAAGATTATACAGAGATGGAAGAGTTCCGCCTTATACATAGTCTGCTATTGAATGGAAGTGCGTAGATGAAGTTTTGTTTATTCACAAGCCGCTCTTTTGACACGGAATGGAAATAAATCTTGAATTCCCCGAAGCAGTTGTGTTGAATATGAGATGATATGGCTAAGCAACAATTTTTGCTTATTGGTTTGCAGTTTGAGTTTTTTCCGTAACGAATTTGACGATGCGAGACCCCATCAGGTACAACACCAACGGGAGGGACACTGCCGTGAGACAAAAGGCCTAATGAGCGGAACAACTACTCATTGCTGTTTGCTTCATGTTTATTTTGAGATTTCGATCTGTGAATATTGACTTCAGATACTAACATTTTATTGAACTTTTTTTTTTCTCGTTTTCTTTTGTCAGCAGCATGTGGTCATTATGTAAATGGTACTTTTTAGGACGAGTTTTCATCTCACTAAGAAAAAAGCTATTTTGTCTTGTTTACTTAATTCTCATCACGCCCAATTTTTTGAAAAAAACATCGAGGAAACCATAAACATCACGTACCAACCCAATACATCTTGGGCCAATGTCAAAGAAAAATCAAGTATTAAAAATGCATCAAGATCCCGGTTCATGAAACGCCTCATTTCGGACAATAATTTTTTGGATTGCTTCTTTTTATAGAAACTTAATGTTTCATTATGACATTTGTTTGCGAGCCTCTCGGTAAGATCAATATCGTTTTCCAGCCATCTGCCTCTCTTTAAGTAAAAGAAGCCGTAGCCAATCGTAAGGCAAAGACGCTCACATCAGTTTTATTTTCGTTATAAGCATCGTCGCTCGTAAAGCAAAAGAGTGAGCCACAATATGATAACTTGCGATGGTGTTTCGATGAACTATACACTATTACCTTATGAGAATTATTTTTATCATTTATAAAAGTGAAGTGCAGTGCTTAACCTTGTGAAGTTAGCAAAATAGTCGCCAGGTAATTTTGATATTTAAATTTGCAGCCAAATTAATTAACATAATTAACATGTACCTGCGCGAATCGGAATGTTTGATGTCTTTTGCACCGTTTAATTTTCAAATTTCGTGTTCTTGGTATTCTTCTGTGTTTCGACATTTTAAAACACCCCCTGTTTGTCAATATTTTCTGCTCTTTTGCAGGTTGTCGACTGAGGAAACACTTAGGTAGACCGTGAACTTGGAAGCGCAATTTTTTGGATAAATTTAATCGACATCAACTGTCTGTGCTTCGTTTGTATTCTGTGGCCTTCAACACTGGTAATTTCACTGGATAACACGAAATACCATCTACGAACGATCTGCTGAGTTGATTTCGCTTGTGGCCACAGATCCAGATAGACGATCGTTTTGATTCTGTCTGCTAACTAGGTAAGGCAGCGTGAATGTATTCAAGGTATGGTGGTTTATGAGGGCTAAACATCTGTCGAAATGGCTGTAAGAACATGCGGATGGCTTGCTCTTTTGGTCATTCTATCTTACGTCCCTTCGCCGATCGCGGAAGAAGTTAAACTTGGCCTTTTAATCCCTTTCAAAAGCGCTGGTCGAATCGGGAACTACTTCCATCGAGGCGAGTTCTTTGCCTCGGCCATGAGTATCGCAGTAGATGATATCAACCGAAGGCCTGACCTTCTTCCTGGTATAAATGTCACTTTCATCTGGAACGACACCGACTGCGAAGAGCTTAAAACGCTGCAGTCCGTAGTATATCAAATGAATCAAGGCGTTACGGCATTTATCGGCCCGGGATGTAGCTGTAACACTTCTGCCAGGCTGGCTGCATCATTCAGTAAGACCATGATATCATATGTAAGTAACCCATTTTACAAGTTGGGTAATTATGATCTGAATGTCTACTTCTGTTAATGCCCACTTGAAACATCATTTGCTTATTTCGTGTTTATATATATTATGCGGGATCGCGTTCAAAAGAAAAAAATATTTAGAAAGTCTACATAATTAGTACCGGTTTAGTTCAAATCATGTTTATCTTTAAAGGAGAAAATTGAGTAGAACAGTTTCTTACTGGGCAAATTGCGCATTTTTTTCCTTTCACGAAATTTTTGGCTGGTTTGCTTTTGGCAATGCTGCGAATCGATCGAAATAAGATCGAAAAAAACAAATTTGAAAATTACTCAAACGTTTGATTAATTTGACCATTAATTTCTGCCGTTAATTACAATTTGTCTTCTTTTTTAATCATGGGATAGAGATGTTAACTATATAAACAAGCATGTCCATGCTAGTCAAGGAAAACTTGCGTTTAATTAATCGTTCTTGGTTTTTAAGATAAATTTGAAAATGAGAGTGGGTTTAATAAAAAGTACCTTCACCGGTAAAAGCTGTCATATAATTGACGTCCTCGTCTCGTCGCTAAGTTGAATCGTTTCAATTTTCAGACGCACAAGGTTTTTCATAACAACAATGAATATGTCATACAATACTATGAAATGATAGAAAAACGCCGCCGTGTGAGATGAAAACACCTGGATTTTTTTCATTATGAATAATTTTCATAAGCAGCATTTTGTCGCTGTTTGTCCTAATAAAAATACTTCTGTATTTTATCAGAAAAATCGAAAGTGTTCAATATCAGATTCGAATTCAGAATATATTCACCGTCTCTCGACAGTTCTTTTTATGGAGGTGATCCAATATCATGTTTGACTTGTCGCTCGTTAACTGAGGATGTATTTTCATTACAAAAACTGACGTCTCTCATAAATGTTCTTCTCTGTTATTTGATCTGGGAAACGCAAATTCGAAGCTATGTTGTTTTGTTTATGTGATCCACTCAAACACTAAAATGACAGTTTTCACATTAAACCTGTGAATTTTACTTATTACCAATTGTTGTATAATATATAATGGTAAACTGATTATCAGGTTTTTTTTCTACTGGTTTTTTCCTTACAACTTTGCGCAATCTTATATCCTCCATTTCTCGATCGTTAAAAGATGGTGGTGAGGTGAGACAATTAAAAACAATGTCAAAAGAGTTGTAACGCTTAGTAAAGTGAATTGCTCGAACTCAGGAGTAACAATGGGTCGTATAGTCTGATTATCCGCGTGGGGGTAGTGCCGAATAGCAGTTGCAGCGACTGTGTTTCGACAACCTTAGCGAAAATCATTGTCAGACTCTGATGATGACTTCCGCTCACGGTGTCAAAACATCGGTCGTTGTTTGATACCGAGAAAGGTCCTCCATAGGACCACTCTCACCCGTGCGATCAGACTACACGACTAAAGAATGTCTTATCACAAACTAATATGATACTGTCTTCGGGAGATTACCGAGAGTCGAATTGCTTAACGCTTCAGGCGATTTTGTCGCCGAGCGAGAACCAGGATCTTGTCCTTGCCCCGGTTCTCCGAAGCATGGATAACGATATCCAGTAGATAGCACAGTAAGTCTTGTTGACCCGTTTGGCCCCGGTTGTTCGAAGATCGGCTAACGATATCCATTGAATAAATCTCTATCCGGTGGATAACGCTATACGTTTTGCTATCACTTATCCGCTGGATAGCGATTTATTTGTTGGATAGCGTTATCCACCCTTTATACAACTGGGCCCTGATGAATAACGATTTATCCGTTGGATGGCGTTATCCGTCCTTCTAACAACTGGGCCCTGGTTTCCACAAGTTTCCGACTTTTTGTCCTCGATTTCATCTTACAGATGTGTGGCAATCCTGATGTTTCGTACAAGAAGTTGTATCCGACCTTTATTCGAACGTTTGCTGTTGACACTAAACTCACACCAAGTCTACTGTCACTGCTCAATTACTTCAATTGGAAGAGAGTGGCGATTATCTACGAAAACGTAACGAAATGGATCGAAATGAAGGATAACTTGGCCACACGATTGAGAGCGAAAGGAATAACTGTGGCTCTGGAACTGCTTACGCATCATTCAGCGCTGTACAGGCCTAAAAACCATTCAGACAATTACAGAGAAATTATGAGAAAGGTCAAGGAAGAAGCTCGAAGTACGTAACAAGTTTCGTAGATTATTGCAATGAAGATTTCAACTTAGGTTCAAATGTTCCCGCCTTTCTCATCCCAAATAATGACCACTTTTACTACTTACAATTACATGTAAGCCAACTTTATAAGGTTGTATATTTAACACTGTAACAAAAATGCTAATATGAATATGAAAGCGATCTTCGCAGTAACGAACGCTACTTGAGCAGTAGTGAAAAATAAGGCCTGAAAAAAATTTCAGGCCTGTACGGGATTTGAAACTCATGACCTCTGCGACGCTGGTGTATGGGGACAAGCAACACTCTTAGTCGTTTTATGCTGCAGAAACTATGATAAACTCCAGGTAGATGAGCCCCTTGGCCTGAGGGCAGACTTAACCTTCCTACCACTGCCACTGTCACTGTCTCTGCCGTTACCGCTGTCCCCGTCATTATATATGCCATTAGTGCTCCTGCTACAGCTATTATCACCAACACCCCTTTCCCTACAACACGTTAGAAAAACTTTCAATAACAGTCTTGATAACTTCGCTGCCATTGCCATTACCACGACGCCAGCGCTGATTTGACATTTCACACCACCATTTCGCAGCCATTTTTGCCCTCAATGAAAAAATTATCTTCTCACCACCTCTATGTATCTGTTACCTTTACTGAATGGACGCGTTTATTTAAAGCGCTCGGGACAAACCTCGGTCCCTTCTTGAACAAAGGAAAAATGGTATAATGACCTTTTTATTAGTTACGTTTACGGATGGGAAACCTTTCTCTGAGGGATTCTTTTGGCACTCTTGAGGGTTTTCCCTGAAAGGAGGTTCCACTGCTCTGCCGTTAGTCTCAGAAATACTGTTGCTTCATTAGCCCGATCATCACTACCATTGCTTCCAGCAGTAATTTTTCCATTAAGAAATGTTTAGCCTAACCCAAATGCTTCTCTTCTAGTTGTGGTTTTTGTGTCCGATTTCCACATAGCCAGGGAAGGGATGCTTCACGCATATGATGAAGACATGATAAATGGCGATTACGCTTTTATAATGTTTGAACTGGATCAAGCTCAAATGGCAATGTACACCGGGAAGCCTTTCAAGTGGTTTTTCAGCAGCCACTGGGAAACTTTGAATAGATATGAACATTTGAAGAAAGCCTTTGAAGCTGTTTTTGTCCTGGCCATAAAAAGTCCTACTTCCGAAAGCTACACCAGCTTTGCAGAGGAGTTGAAGCGCCGTTCCCCTGACCCTCCGTTTAACAGCGAAGTATACAAAGGCTATCTGTGGGACAACAAGTCAAGCTTCCCTGCAAACAAATCTCGGGTAAGCAAATGATGTTGATGCTATGCGTAACGGCTTTTGGTTTACAGCTTATTGCTTTATTAGCAGATGCAGCCGGCCCCTGATCATTGCGCTCAGTTGTGTCGTATTTTGTGGGAGAAGAGTGACTCTTGTATACGTAGTCCTTCTCTTAATCTACCCAGGCACCAACATTGTGTTTAAGAAACTTGAGAAATTGCTGGTGGTATCTGCGATACACTGGCCTTTGAACAGTAACTATCATACCAAAACATCGAAAATAATTTTATATTTGAGTGTGAGCGTCCGGTTGTTTTCACCTAATAGTTACAGCTTGTTGGGGTATGGCCTCGATATACAACAATCGACAAATTCTCTTATGAGTTCTTATGCAACTTTGAACCATGAGTTTTTCTTTTGACCTAGAATTGCCATGACGATATTTTTTTTTTGCTCTTCAGCCACCAATTTACGGAGCTTATCTTTACGATGCCGTGTACCAGTACGCGATTGCGCTCAACAAAACATTGGCAGAGAAGGAACCTTTGACAGGAAAGAACATCGCAAACAAGCTACATGATATCCAATACGACAGTAAGTTGCTTTCCTGAGTTTTATTTTTGCATCGTTATCATCTAAGTCGCTGGGAGATGCGGTGTTTAGTGCATTGCACTGTGGGTTGATTGAGTCCGGGATCGAGACTTGGCTGAGTTAATGTGTTGTGTTTTTGGGCAAAATACTCTACTCTCTTCATCAGGAGTATAGACGAGTAGCGAAGAATTGTCAGGGGCGTCTAATGAAATGCTGGGAGTGTCCTTACGATAGGCTCGGCAGGGGAACAGTAATACTCCTAGTCTCTTCATGTTAAGAAAACTGGAATAAGCTTCAGCTGGTTGGGCCACTGGGCTCGGGAACAGACTTTATAAGTTGGGGTTAACAAGCTAATTTGTGTGTTATTAGCAGATGGATATTTTATGATGTTTTGCCGTTTTTGTGGTGGCTTGTTTTATCTAAAAGATGATCGAGGCATTTTCGTAGATTCAGAGGAGATTTGCTTTACCCAATTTTCTCGGCCAAAACAGGCTGTTAAATACACAGACGATCCTTCGCAACCTCCTCGAATAGAATTCGCTTCGGATGCGAACTGTAAGAAAAGAGTTGTAAACAACTACGCCGTAGGGATCTCTAAGTTGTAATGGGGCTCGCCTTACACCTATCTGGCCCGGATTTGAACCCTTAAACTGACGTCTTGTCTCGACTCACTGTGGGTTCAGCCTTGCTATTGATTCTCTTCCTTGCTTTAAGGGCCAGTTCCTCCTTTCCAAAACTGGACACTCCAAATTGCTGAATTCAGTGGGTATGGAGCCAATTCAGATATGTGTACCACTTCTAACTGGCATTTAGTATATACTATATATTTTCTTTTTCAGGCATACTTGGATACAAGATTCATTTTGATGTAAATGGAGATGCCGAGTTCAATTTAACGTTACTGGATATGCAAGGTTGGTGGTCTTCCTCCATCTTTATACCAACAACGTAAAGTATCATTTACCATTAGCGAACCTGGGTGTAAAGGAAAAAAATCACATCATTATGTCAGATTTGCCAAAACGTTTGCAGAAACGCTAGCAAAAAACGATACGTAGAGGCTCATCTTTTCTCGTTCAGGAGTCTTAAAAGTATCTTTTAGGGCAATAATTTCTTCGGCGATGTCATTATATATGTCCCGGCTCCCATGTTCTTTTAAGATATAGATTCTGCGAATTTTCAATGACGTTGGAAAGCTAGTCAGTCTACGACTCTCTTTTGGAAACACAGAATGGTTTTTTGTCTTGGAAGAGGAGACTTATTTTCGTCTTTCCTCTCTTCATTCCTCCTTAACGGTGGAACTATACTGCAAGGACTTTGAATGTTTCGTTGTTTCTTTTCCTCTTAGGTGTTACAGGCGAGGGAGATATGATTCCAGTTGGGGATTTCCAAATCAAGTTCGATAATACAACGAAAGGAGGAGAACAGGTTTTTATTAGACGGGCAAACGTTACCATAAAATGGCCTGGTGGACGAAAGGGGCCCCCAAGGGACTCCCCTGAGTGCGGCTTTCATGGAGAATTGTGTATTGAACCCGAGAAAGGAGGTATTTGTTTCCATACTTAAATATTTTTTTAGTTATAATGGGGATGACCACACCATCTACCTGTTTAAAGGTAAAATAAGGCAAGTGGACCACACAAACTACTGCTGTAATAAAATGACTTTGAAATGTTTTTGATTGTTTGTAAGTTACTGTGCGAGTTTTCAAGAAATGTTGCGTTTCATTTTGGTCCATGCTGCGGCATGTGGCTGAATTCGTTAAAGTCTTGCACTAAAATTTTGTTACTTCTTTTATTAGATGCCAAGACCAAAATAATTGCCGGAGTGTCAGGAGCACTTGCCCTCCTATCGCTGCTCTTACTCCTTAACATCTACAGGTAACTTACTTTACTTATTGACCCAACCCAATTAGCCCCTCCTCCAACAAGCTGCAGTACATTTCGTAAAAATACAAACAACGAGTATAAATATTACTGAGTGCAGACTCAAGAGCAGTGACGTGAAAATACATACGGTTAAAGATCGTGGACACTTTTTTTTGTTTGTAATCTTTCTGAGGAGGGCAAGTTGACTCATCCAAATTTTTTATCGTCTTGCAGGCAGTACAGGCTTGAGCGTGAACTAAAAAGTCTGCTCTGGAAGGTCGACTACAATGAGATCTGTTTTGAGAAGAAAAGGAATTCCATTTCGTCCTTTGGAAGCTGTGTGGTAGGCGTCAACGATATCATCCAATTACATTTGTTTTCTATGTTAAAACTAGTGAAGTGCTTACGAATGTCAATGTTTATATATCTTGCTCCATCCATTTTTCAGGCCGTAAGCCAATTAGTCACTCATTCATTCCCTCAGTCCTTCAGCCAGTCAGTCAGTCAGTTAGTCGGTCAGTCAAACAGTCAGACAGTCAGACAGTCAGACAGTCAGACAGTCAGTCAGTCAGTCATTTGCTTAGACGAAGGACTTACGCTGGAAATATCAGATTAAAAACTGTACGGTGGCCAATTTACAAAATCAACTCAGTTGATGAAACCAAATTATTCAGTCTTTCAGTCTTTCAGTCTTTTAGAATTTCAATCATTCAGCCTTTCAGTCTTTTAGTCTTTCAGTCTTTCAGTCTTTCAGTCTTGCAGTCTTGCAGTCTTGCAGTCTTTCAGTCTTTCAGTCTTTCAGTCTTTTAGTCTTTCAGTCTTTCAGTCTTTCAGTCTTTCAGTCTTGCAGTCTTGCAGTTTTCCAGTCTTTCAGTCTTTCAGTCTTTTCGTCTTTCAGTCATTCAGTCTTTTAGTCTTTCAGTCTTTTCGTCTTTCAGTCATTCAATCTTAAGTTGCTTACCTCCTTCCACTTTACTTTGCACAGAAGGAAAACGATCCTGATATGTTTGAACCCCTTCTCGAAGATGACGATGAGGTTTTAAAGGTCACCGCTGTCGGAGTTTACAAGGTATTTTATTCTCACTTCTAACTTGTACGTAAATTCGTGTTTATTTGGTAACAAATTAATGATAAAACATCGACCGATCAAGTAACATAGGTGTTTCACTATTCCTCTCTTTTCGTTTTAGGGAAATCTCGTTGCAGTCAAACGCTTGGCCAAGAAAAATATAGATCTAACGAGAACTGTGTTAATGGAACTAAAACAGGTACTTACCATAGTTCACAAATAATAAAGAGCATCCCAGTGGGTGCAGCATCCGATTGCAAAATCGGAGTTGGCAGCTGGAGTGCGACTCTCGACCTTACACTTAGATCGTTCTTCATCCTACGCCCGTCTCTTTTGTTGGTCATCATCCTCAGGCCTTTTTAACCTCTTGACTCCCAAGATCTCAAAATCACGTGTCGTTTTTGGTTGTCAAACATTTCTTGTAATTGTAGCTTTAGTAATTGGGTGTTTAATCAAGGTATGTCACGAAGTTTATCTTCCTGTTTTTTTTTTCTCATCACCTTTCCTATTAACAATTTATATTGATTTTGTGAGGATGAATTCTTCTTTTGTCACCACTTGGAGCAATATGGTCTACAGGGTATCCGGAATGACCCACGTTATGATAATGATATCCATATCCACATCTTTTACACGAGAGTGCAAGTGTAGCTGGCGGGAAGTGGAAGGTCGAAGAACTTTCCAACAACAGCTATTAAACATACCACAAATTTGCGGAAGAAATTAAGCGAAAGGGTCGAAAGGTGGGAGCGAACTTGTTTCACTGCATCTAGCAAACTCGGAAAGATGACTAGGCCAATTTGCTATGGCCCGAAAACCTCTAAATATAAGGTGATGACCTGTTTTCTGACAGTGAATTCGTCTGGTCGTGTTTCTTTTAGATGCGCGACCTGAGGCATGACAATCTAAATCCATTCATCGGCGCATGCGTGGATCCACCAAACATCTGCATCATTTCGCAGTACTGCTCCAAGGGGAGCCTTCAGGTAAGTCATCCTATAGTTACAACACTGAAGACTGGAGGAAAGAGAGATTGCATTGGTTTTACATTGGTATGTTCTTTCAAGTTGTGCAAATCTTGACGAACGAAACATTTACTAACAGAACCTCTTAGATACAAAGTTTAATTACATGCTGAAATTTTCAATTACAAACCTTCAATCCTCTATATTGAAGGACGTGAAGGACATTCAATAAAAGGAAAAGGAATCAGCACATGAGCTACATGCACATGAACGATTATTTTGCATTACTTACTCGCTATGCTATTTTTATTCTTCGCAACATAGGATATTTTGGAAAACGAGGATGTCAAGTTGGATCATATGTTCATAGCTTCACTTGTTTCTGACATAGTTAAGGTAAGGTCAAACATTGGATATTCATTTCACAGAATTCCTGATTGATTCCGGCTTAACGTGATTCTGGTAAATGTGCTGCAGAACCACAATTAACAGTTCAGCCGTTTATTGGAAACAAATCACCAGTTTCTCTTACAGTGCCCTCAGTTCATACAATATGAGTCCACGCTGTCTTTCAACCTCCTTTTTTCTTTTTCTTTCCAGGGGATGTGTTTTATCCAGAGCACAGATATCAAGTCACATGGTGATCTTAAATCACCCAACTGCTTGGTGGATAGCCGCTGGGTGTTAAAAATTGCAGATTACGGGCTCCCAACCTTTAAGGAAAAGCAAAGGAAAACGTACCCGTCGGAGTATGCGTACTACAGAGGTAGGTGTAAGATAATCACCTTTAGAGCCTTGGCATCTAGCACTTTTTGTTATCTCTCTCCGTGTACCGGTCTAATATTTCCCTGGTCGTCTTTAACCCTGATTGTTATTTCCCTAAAGGTTAGAGGTTTGAGAAAATAACTGTCAGGTGAAAGTTAAGACTCCTTTCGAAGTGCAATACTTTTCTGATTTTAGATCTTCTATGGGTTGCGCCGGAGATTTTACGCCTTCCAAATCGTCCTGCTAGAGGAACGCAGAAGGGCGATGTCTACAGCTTTGCAATCATTTTGCAAGAGTTCCATACAAGGGAAGGTCCCTACAGTTCCAGCTATATGGATCCCAAGGGTAGGAAAATGGTGTTCCAGTGTTTTCACTGCTGAATTTATTTTCTGTAAAGTCGTTGAATCTTCCTCAGGAACGTTTCTACTCTAGGGACATCTCCATTCAAGGAACATAGACTCTGAGCCCCTTTAAAAATATTTTCTACAGTCTTATGTATCTGTTAAATTTGTTGAGGATACACCTATATTTAAGGAAAATCTCCATTCGAGGAACACAAACTTTAGGCCCAACTGAAAAAGTTCTTACACTTTTTTTTTTTTATCTTATCTTTGTTGAAGGAACACCTCAGTCTACTTAGGCGGTGGCCTGATCTACTTTAGAAGACGTATACTAACGGAGGGCTACTCTAATCTTGTGGTTGATTTTTTTTCCTACTGCTTTCAGATATTGTAAGCCGGGTACAGAACGGAGAATTTCCGCCTTTCCGCCCGACTGTATCAGAGCTGATCACCGGAGTGGAAGAAATCCGGGAACTGATGAAACAGTGTTGGGAAGAAAGTCCAGACTTACGACCAGACTTCCACGAAATCAAGAAGATTATGAACAAGATTTTAACCAACAACGGAATGTATGAAGACTTTTACCTACTTGCTCCCCTTGACCAATCAATCATTAACTTTCCACGAGAAAAAATTGTGATAACCTTGACTTTAGTAGATTATTTCTGAGTTGAAAATGGTGCGTTTCAATTACTTCTTGTAAAACCAATACCATTAAGTGATGACTGCTAAATTAAAAAAAAAAAAAAACGAAAAATGAAATCAAGAAGTAACTGCCAGTATCAAATATCGTTTGGAATTATATGATTACATTTACATTTACATGAGCGTGGAAAAACTCACTTCCATGTGAAAACTTTGTTCCTTTTTACGCGTTAAATACGATGTGAGTCACTTCAGCCTTTGGGATTGCTCTGATTTGTTAAGCACGAGCACTAGAGGTTGATGTGGTTTTGATGTTTCTCTCCAATAAAGGAAAACAAACATTTTTGACAACGTTGTTTATATGATGGAAAAGTACGCTGATAACTTGGAAGAACTGGTGATTGAACGAACTGGTCAGTTGATCGAAGAAAAGAAGAAGACTGACGCTCTGTTGGAAAGAATGTTGCCAAGGTATGGACATAGACAAGTAGTGTTTTTCGTATCTTCGGGCTGTGAAATATCAATCCGTCATCATTAGTCGGTCCTTCAGCTCCATACGGCCTGTCATGTACACAGCTTTACAAGCATACTGTCAGTTAGGCTTGAAGCTTGCCATTCATATCATCAGTTTGGCATATTGCTCGGCATGCAAACTGTCTGTTAGGCATTCAGTATGGCATGCCTACTATCAGTTGAGTATGTTGCTTGACATGCATACTATAGGGTAGGCATGCAGCTTTTAGTTAGGCATGTAAACCTGACTGCATACCATCGTATTAGGTATGCAGCTTAATATGCATACTTTTCCTTGAAGCATGCAATTTGGCATGTATACTAGTCGTTAAGCATGCAACTTGACCGCAGATTCTGCATGCAAACCACACCATGGATACTATACTATGCATACACATTTTTTAAAAATTTTTCTTTTCGTATTTTCTCTGCAGGCCTGTTGCAGAGCAGCTCAAGAGAGGCAAAGCGGTAGAGGCGGAAAGTTTCCATGAAGTCTCGATTTACTTTAGTGACATTGTTGGATTCACTGAGCTCTCTGCAGAAAGTACTCCTCTACAGGTTGACATTTAAGTGTTAGATAATTAATCATTGATTATCACTATGTTAATAGGAATTTTACGGTTTCAAGTTTCAATACATAGAGAAAAATTGCCCCCCGAGACAGAGATGTGTACAACTTTCTGTAGAGAGTACTCTCACCTCTATGGATGTTTTTTTACCAAATTTGAATTGATTATTGCTTTTATAGAAATATAATCCCCTTTATTAATTATCTTTATTTTCCTTTTTTTTTCAACGCAGACACTGCAATACTAGCCTTTAAGTTTACACTACTGACAAATTAAATCAGTTACATACATACCTCTTTATTATTGTTCCACATTCTATTTCAGTGGTAAGTTAGAAAATAAGATCCTTTTTCTCGAGATCATATTCTTTACAAACTTTTCTCCTGGTATTCCTCTACAAAAGCACAGTTAATTTTTTTTCTTCCTAAAGGTTGTTACTCTTTTGAATGACTTGTACACTCTATTTGATGACATCATAAGTGAATATGACGTTTACAAGGTGAGGTTTGCTAGTTATTATACCTATAAACCCGAACTGTCGTTCGTCTGATAGTCTTACGTCCTCGCCCCCTTGAATGGACCACCGCTCAAAACGTGAGCTTCTCAAAATTCATGAGCAAATTTATGACTTTCTGTAGAGACTATCTTCCTCAAAATCAAAGACGCGATATGTTAAAGGTTGTTACACCTTAACTGAAAAGGATGGCATTTTCATTCGTCGAAAGGACACTCTACTTAGTACACCAACTTTTCAAAAGTCACGGGTAAACTTAACCAATATCATCAACTGAATTATTCACTGACCAAGGACGCAGCGAAAAAATTATTTAGAATGTAATAACTGTGCATCATCGCGTTTAGAATAATATACTTTAAGGAGGTTGGACGTAAAGTTTAAAGTTCGTAATTTAATTGTAAATTGAGCCATTCTTCTCATCTGTACAATCTTACGATTCAATGCTTCAAATCGGGCAAGGTTCATCTTCCACCTTTATAAAACTAATCTTCTATCTTACTAATATACTCAAGCGCTAAAAAGACCTAACTTCCAATCATCTCCAACATATCTAAACTTCATGGAAAAGTAATATCGAAGCTTAAATGTCACACAGATAACAAATTATGTAACATTAATATTACTAACCTTTATGAAAAAACCTTTGATTTTTAATCTAAATAAGTTTTTACTTATTAAAAGCCTCTTTATACTTTTGAAGGAAGTTTATAACGCATCTGTGGGTCAAATTTTTTCTTGCGCAAAAAATTTTGTTAAGTTACGTAAAAGCTAACGTTGACTATTAAATTCTGCATAAAGGTACTTCATGCGCCTTCTTAAACTGATGATTAGCGACAAAATAACATTATTTGCAGAGGTAGCCTCATTGCCTTGACGTTTATTCCGTTGCTTTTTATTTATGACCCGAAAAATATTACTTTGTCTCCAGTTTTCCGAAATAAATGACAAAGATACAGTAACTGCTTTTCTTTGATCATGAATTTTAAAATGGGGATATTCTGTTAAGAGAATAATCCAACGACGTTTTCCTTCAACTTTTTTAAAAACTGTAATTGATGTTTTGTAAATATGCAAGTGGCTCAAAAAGAAATTAAATTTCGCACGTCTCTTTTCTTTCCTGTCGAATGTTAAAATAAAACAGTAATAACCGTAAATTTTCACAATAAACATTAAACGTGGAAGGTCCGTTCAACCTCCAATTTTAGTGCCGTTGTTTGCTTGTACTCTAGTGCGCTCCTTCTGCCCGGCAGGTGGAGACAATTGGTGACGCTTACATGGTTGTGTCAGGGCTACCCATCAGAAATGGCCATCAACACGCTGGTGAGATTGCGCGCATGGCGTTGCACTTGATTGAGGCTGTGAAGAAAGACTTTACAGTTCGTCACAAGAGTGATTACAAACTTAAACTACGTGTTGGAATTCACAGTGGTAAGTGCAAGCGATGTTTAGAGGTGTTCTTGATAACAAATGATCATCAATGATCTGCCTTTTCATTGGCCGAAAGCCTCCAAAGTGAGCTGCAAACAATTCGGGCTACAAAATATATGAATCTCATATATTATTGAACTGCACAGAAATGATATTGCGATAGTCACGCTTAATCGTGTTCACGCTTATCAATGGTAAGGGCAGATCACTTTCCTCTACGCATATACAATACCTTTTGTGCACGCGAAAGTTTTCTACGTTCTTCTGTGGAACTGGCACATTTTCCCCTTCCCTCTCCCCTCCCCCTTCCGTAAGCGCTGGATATATGGCTATGTACCCTCATACAGGTAAAGGCTTTGGTGTGGTCTTGAACGAGTAAAAAGTTATTTACATATGAAGTATTTCGACCTTTTCTTTTCTCTGAACTAAAAAAATTATATAAGCTGTAAATGTTTGCTTAAGGTGCTCAATATGGGTGGTACTTATTCAAAATATTCTGTCTAAATATTGGCTACGTCGTTATACCACAATCTATATTTTGAACGGGCTAGCGATGTAAAATTAATTTGTCTTGTACGGGAGTAGGGTTTTAATGACTTACGGCACAGCCCCACCAAAACTCTCCGTATGATGTTTAACCCTTTCTCCCATGGAAGACAAAATTTCTCTTCACAATACCCTTACAATATCAAGTGCACAAGTGATGAGAATAAAGAAAATATCATTTGGGGGATTATTAGTTGATTAAATACCAAATTCACCGAACTTACATCATAAGAATTGTATGGCAGACAGTAGAGAGAAATACTGATGAGATCGTGGGAGCGAAAGAGTAAACAACTTAAACATCGTTATACAATTTAACACCAGATCTGATGACCGTTTTACTTACTTATTTGCTCACTGATGCCTTTTTCTTAAGGTCCTGTGGTGGCAGGTGTTGTTGGAATAACTATGCCACGTTACTGTTTATTTGGTGACACAGTCAACACTGCATCTCGGATGGAATCAAATGGAGAAGGTAATTAGCACTTGGAAACGTTTTTTTATTTCGTCACAAAAGACGCTATTTATGCTTTTAGCTCGTTTACTTTAACTCATAGAGCGCATTGCCAAAGCCTAGTTCTGTTTGGTGGGAATGAGTTATGAAAATAAGATCTTTCTTGCTTCTGAGAGTTTTTTTTATCTTTGGGTATCATTTTTAGTGTGTAAAACGTTTGGTTCTTTTGTTGATATAGTTTGTTTGTTATGTATAGCTCTAAGAATTCATATCAGCGAGGTGACAAAGAGAATACTTGAAGCTTTGGGAGGCTTCATAGTCGAAACTCGAGGCGAGGTGTTCCTGAAGGTGAGAATAGTAAAATAAATTTAGAAACATTTTCGATAACCCAATGGTTTGTTTCTCAACTTGATATCCTTTGAAAAAACCGCCAACCATTCAACAACATATGTACTTTGTTTTCGAAATTTAGGAAAGCAGGGTTTGCGAAATGGCGGGCCTGATTTCTAGTCTTTCTTTCCATGTAAATGGATTTCTTTACTATCTTTCTAAAACCGACATTCATCCGGCCGAAGGATCACGTATTATTACCCAACTTGATGTTTGTCTGTCTTTCGTAACCAAAGTTTGCTTCTAAAGCGCTTTATGTATTTTATTAGGGAAAGGGAAATATGACAACTTATTGGCTTATGGATGCAGCACAGAAACCAGTCCATAAGCCTCGGCGCCCCATACCAAATGGCTTCCTTACGGACTCCCCCCTCCTTTCTTTACCCGGATTTAAAAGTACTTTGGCGGGGTCATGCTCATCAGTATCCCTGGGAATAAGACGTTCCCCGTCGCTGCGCCGTAGTCAGTTCCGTGGCTCCCAGGGGTCTCCAATTTTGAAAAGATGGCAGAAGATTGAGGATGGTCCCAAGAATTCCCCAAGAAACAGCTTGATTAAGACAAATGCCAATGCCACTCAGCAGACTATTGTATGAAAGCGAAAACACTCACTCTGCTGGGAATGTCGAGTGTGAACATACAAGTCCAATTTCAGAAGAAACGTTAAGAGAGAAGGAAGTGGATAGAACTATGCGATATCGTCGTAATTACTTTCTTTCTGAGGTCCATCTTAAGATTATTTGCTGTCACGAACGGGAAGTAAAAGTCATGCATTTGTGTCACAGCATAGGCACGTCATTTGAATACTCGTCCCTCGGACATTTTGCGTCCGTTAACTAATTGTGTGTGGCTATAATGTACCAATCAATTCGAAGCTTCAACATCCCCTCGGGCAACCTCCCCCCTCCCGGCATTTGACCTTGAGAAGATTGATTTGTTAAAACCCCGCCCACGGGGCAAAGACTGTTCTCAAATGCCCCAACAAATATTTTTGTTAAAGGAAAAATTAGCAACTGTGACTTTCTACACATTGACTAAGCTTTGAAAGCTAGACCTCGTAGAACTTTCTTTCTGAGCCATTGGCTCGCTAAAGTAAACTATTTATTTTTTAGACACCTCCATATTTAACAATATAACACTAGTGTTTCTCTGTAAAGACTTGTCGAATGTCTGTAGGTTACCCGGGGGAGGGGGATGTTGAAGCTTCGAACTGAACGGTGCATAATACGTTTGAGCGTAAGGTAACGATGAGCAAAAGGAAAATAAGATACAATTAGCATAGTTTCTTTCTTAAAAGGGTTGTGCATTAGGCGACAAGAGCACCGTCAAACTTTCAAGAATTTGCTTAAAAAATCATTTTTACGGCAAATTCATTTTGTGTGAATGGGTACCATCATTTTTGTGATATTTCACATTCTGCTCTCTCTCTGTTTAAAAAAGAGAAGACACATGTGTAACATAACTTTGTGTGAACGCCGTTTGTTTTCCAGGTGAAATTATCAGTCTGTCAAGCTGGTCAAAAAAATTGCTTTCATTTCAATTTCTTCCAAGTTCATTCATCTCTGTCTGTCAGAGAGAAAAACACCTGATTAAAAACTGTTCCAAAACAATGCTCTTATTTTCTAGAGTCTCGACTTCTTGATTCCACTTGCCATTATGATAATTGCTTCAAAACAAAAACCTTTTGGTTTGCAGTGCTTTTTTTCCCTTGTAAAAATTTGTCGAATTTCAAGTGTATGTTTTCTCATAATGAAAATTTATTATTTCTATAACATTTCCACTTACTAAAGAATTCTGTAGGTTTATTTGTTGGTGCATCTTCGCTTTGGCAATTTCATGATGGCACTTTTAATTGGAATGAACACCGTCACTTTATTTGGAAACATTTACATTTAGTGGAGATTGAAATTTTCAATTCAAATTCTAATCGCTAGGACCAGATCCAATATTTGAAAGAACAGTGTATACATCTGAAAACATTAAATACATTGGTTTTAAGGCAACATTTTTCAGTACCAAAGAAAATTGTTTTGTCGAAACCCAGAGAGGAATGAAAATCTTCATGAAGCCAGGAGAGCGGGTGTGTATATCGTACAGAGTGAAGAGTAATTTATAAGTTCTAAATTGCCCCAAATATATTTCAGCATGAATAGATTGTATATATTAAATGTGTAATATAGTGCGTTTCGACGAGCTCGAGCAATCGGTTTCTGTAGAATGTAAAGTTGTCTATGTAGTTGTTTCTGTCCATTTGAGGAAAATACGATATAATTAAAATTTTTGAATAACCAAGTATGTCTCTAAAAACTTTGGTCCAACGTGTTTATGTTCATACACTCGTTTTTTGTAAGAACGTCTAACTTTGGGGCTGAGTTAACTGTCCACCTACCCCTCCCCTAACCCAACATTAACCCTAACTTGTTATCTATTGACTGTTGTTGAGTTAGGGGAGGGGTAAGTGGGCAGTTGCCCAGATATTGATATTGATCCAAAGTTCCTTACGTTAAAACGTACATGAGAAATCAACGGTAAAAGTTAAAGAATGATTTTATATAATAAGTTCAGTTATGCACGCATTCTGATTGGTTGTCACTTATAATCTATTGGAGGACAGACGTATAGATGACGTCATCATTAAAACTTTTTCTTCCGTACATTTGAATTCTTTATTATATAAAACTAATAGATTCCAAGTTGTCGTGCGTCTGTTCAATAATAGATCACAGAGGACGTCAAAATGTGGTAAGAACATCAGTGACACACTCGGCTGCACCTCGTGTGCCACTTTTTTGTTCTTACCACATTTTGACGTCAGCTGTGATCTATCACTGAACAGACGCACGGCAACTTGGAATCTATTTGTTAAATAGACCAAGCAAGATCTAGTGATAGTCTCGAAGAATATGCACTATGGCGAGCGAAAAGAAAGCAAACGAAAAAAAATGTTGGAATTATTAATGTCAACACGCAAAAAGCTGTCTCTAAGAGAGTAGGAAAATGCTCACCTGTCGTCCTTACTCCAAAGACTGTTTGATAGTGTTGCGAAATGTTTCATTCCAGGAGGCTGGCTACTTGTAGCAAACTCTGTTTCGAACTTTACTTCACCCTCACGTTGGACCGCTGAGTCATCATACCGCGGAATCAGAAACTTTACCAACAACAAAATGGGTATCACAGTGAGCGCACTGAAAGAACTCAGGTTACGCTTGTCTTTCACTCAGCTGAGATTCCACTGCAGTAAGAAACAAGGTCGTACGTTCCGCGTGACCACAGTCAGTAACAGCACCGGTGAAGGTGTGGTCTAGTACTTCAGCGGCCAGACGGATGTGCACTCCGATTCACTCTCTCACCAGGAGACTTTTGGAAAATCTATGTGCGATAAATAATTAGCCAATAAAAATATTAGAGCAGTTTTCAATTAAGTGTGGACGTAATGTGGAATTGCATGTTTTTTCATTTTGAAATGTGTGAAAAAAGGTTGCACCATATTTTCAATCATCACTCAGACCTGAAATATTTATCTTGGTCACTTGTGATTTACCGCCTCGAGGTTATTGTTATGTATTTTTTATGAGTTCTTATTGGCTCCTCGGGATATTTATCTTGGTTCTGATTGGCCGTTTTGATAAACTTGGTTTTGGTTCGTGACACTCGATTCAGAATCTTTCATTCCAAAAACAGCTTTCTTTCACTTATTGACCCAGTAGGTCGTTTTTATGAATATCCTTAACCTCAAAGGATAAGCAAGCAAGACCAACCGTTCTCTCTCATAACCGAAAAAAGTTAAACAAAGAGACTTCGAAATTTGCAAGAAACAAAGTCAAACTACTAAAAAGGATGAAAGGTGGTGATGGGAAAAGGATGACTTATTTTAGTCGAGTTCCATCAATCAAGCAAGCTTCCTCCCCTTTATTATGAACACGTGACCCGATCAATGACGACAACGATTCGTTTTTTGGAAGCTCTTTTAGCTTCAGTAACGGTGTAAGCAATCACGCGCCATTGTCGATTTTGACACGTACGCAGTATTACATGTAGTTAGAAAACAAGGACAAATCTATAAACTGACTGTCCTGTTTCAATTTCTTTAAAGGATAACAGATTCATTCCATTGTTACCTAATCATGGTGCAATTGAATCCGGCCATTCTTGTTCTACAAGAATCCTCAAATGGTTTAAACTAATAGATGCCTTCGGTAAGTTGGACACAAAGTCAAAGCTTGCACAATGTTGACTTTCGAAAGCAAAGGTAAACAAGGTTTTAAAACGTTTGCAATTGTCAGAGGTTTTGAAGACAAATGTTTTTGCCCAGTGTTGGTGCTGCACTATCTTCGATGATTTACGATTTTATCTTCATTGTGTTTGTGTGTGTACATCCTTTGCTTCTTGTTTCTACACATAGGTAACCAGCACCTGAAGGAAGTCGCCGTCCGTGACTGTGAAAGCCATGCGGTTACTTTGGTATGTTGTCAGTTCTGGCCAAGTTCACCTGAGAGACCGTCCGTGGGCTTCCATTTTAAATTAATGGACCTTGCTGAAAAGTTATTTCTGCACAGTCAGGTGTTTGTAAAGGAGTTTTCAGAATTGATTTTGGAAATGACACCACATATCTGCAGCCTAATTTTGTGAGTAGTTTTATTATTACAGCGGTGTTCTTTATAAGACCAGTGTTTTTTAATACACTGATAGATTTTCTAGTATAAATAAATTCTTTATTTTAAATATAATATTGAGAATTGCTCATTTACATTCTGGAGAAGGAGGCAGTGGTTCAGCGCATCCAAATGTTTGGAGTGCTGGCTTTCAAATCTTAGCAAGTGTTGAATTTATATGCTATCTATCCTAATATTCTAATTTCCAGTTAAACTGTACATTGTAGAAATCTTCTGGACTGTTAGTTTTCCCATTTAAGCTAAAACCCTGCAGATGCTGAGGCCATCAAGTCACGTTGATGATCTTCCCGTCTGTCAACAATATTGTCTATATCCCTGCTTGAAACAGTATTTGAACCCATTACCATACCTACAGCTGTATTTAATGCTAAATCCCACTTAAGAATATAACATTAAGCCACAATTGACTGCACATACACAAGTAGTAAGTATGGATAAATGAGGAGTGAAATGAAAAGTAATGACAATATCAGTGTTGTACGAAAATGACTGAGTACATGTAAATAAAATATATTTTCCTTCTAATACAAGTACCTGTTTTAAAGAATTCAGCACAAAATAAATTGTAAGAATTTGGTCCTTTGACACCTTTGATTCTTTTTAATGTGACATCTGCAGAAGAAGATGATTCTTGTGGCCTTGTTCTTTTCTGATTCCCAATCCACGTCTGCAAAAATCATTTAGTGTAATTGTTATATTACTCATTATGTTAAAATTAGTATTAATTAACCACTGATGACAACTGAATAAACATACGAAAGCTATTTAATATTAATTTTGATCAAAGACCATAAAAGTGTTATCATGAGGAAAAAGGAGAGGAGGGGAGAAGAAAGAGGAGGTTTGCATCAGACCTATTGAGAAATACTGCAATAATGCCTGACCATAAGATACAGTATTCGTACATGCTTGAAAATAGTATTTAATATCCTTTAG